GAGTGCGGTATAAACTTGGAAACCATTTTTAAATCTTCAACGTTGTCAACAATGATCAGCCACGAGGAATATTTCTGAGCCTTTGTAACTACAAACGTTTGTAACTGAGCAAGTTTCTCTTCTTGAGAAATATTTTCTGATGACATGAGGTATGATACGTCGTTGCATTGAAGCTGGAATGCCAGTTTTATGTACGACTGAATCAGACTCTCGAGACTCGATGCATTTAAGGTGGCCACGAATTTGGACGGTTCGTCCTTGTCAATTTCATCGAAATGTTTTTCTCCAATCTGTCTTGCAAGCTCGCTTTTTCCACAACCAGGATTTCCTGATAAGTATGTTACTGTGATGTGATTCGGATATATTGCTTTTAGTCGACGTATCTCTTCAAGTGTCATCGAAACTTCGTCATGACGGTCGACAACATCGTGAGATGGCTTTTGAGGCAAAGTGCAAAATGACTCCTGTTGCTCACATTTAATTTCAGCCTTTATTTCTTCTTTGAATTCTGAGGAAGAAACAAATTTGTTGGTATAAAAAATGTTCTACAAATTTTATTAAAATATTATTTTTCAAATAAGGAATTTGAAAAGAATTAAATAGTTKAATAATCAAATTCTCAAATAATGTTTTCTTTTTCTTTTTTTTTTCTGACGATTTCACGGATAACTTAGCAATTCAAAATTCAGTTGTTAGTGAAAAATCATTATGAAAAGAACATCTTCGAACAGTCTAAAATTTGTAACATTTCCAAGTTGAAAATCATTACTTCCGAAGCAAATCAAGAAATCTAAAATTTACAAAATTTTACAAATATAAAATAAAGGTATGGTGAGGTTGAGTGGTGACCTCCTTGTCATACAGTTCTTTGTAGATTGTGGTGTTTTTAAGTGCGCATCTTGACGTTTCAACGCATTATTCTAAAATTTTAGGCCGTTCGTTTTTGTAATGTTCGTGATTTTTCAYTAAAATTGTTAAAATGGTCTATTGAAACCAAAAACATTTATCGGGATTGTAATGACACCAATTTATTTCTGATTCTATATTTTAGAAGACTAGTATGTACGGTACCTATTCCTTAGGTACCGGCGAGTTCCTGGAAAAAAATATATCTGTTCTTATGTCCACCTAGGCTCAGTCTCCAGCCGTCGGGATTTCGTGCGCCCGCGATACTCTCTCCCNCATATATAAATATAATGTTAATTTAAAAACATTTTTTACCTTGGAATAACGTAGAATATAGTATTCCTTGTTTATTGAATTCTCCTCTAATGGCGTCCAATTTCTTATCCTCGCCTTCTTCCCATGATTGAATAAGAACATTCAAAAAGGTATCATTTTCTGGGTCAATGGACTCGATTTTCAGACGCTGGATTTCTGGTTCATACTGCAATCCTCCAAGTCTTGTCAGTGCTGCCCCAATTTCAGCCCATTGGTTTTCAAAATCAGAATTAGAGAGTTCTGCCGCACTTTTATGACAAATAATTTCATTTCGACATCGTTTCACTCGAATCAAATCAGCCACTGTACTTTTATTAGTTGGTAGTGGGGCAGCATCCCAGCCTGTAGTAGGTGGAGTCAGACCACAGGTATTCCGTAGTAGAAGGAAGAGCAATGTTATGTCGAAGGTCGTCGACGATGGCACTCCTGGTGTTGGTGGGTATAACTTGTCCCATTGTTGTGTGTTCAGAACTCTTTTACTTCTTAGTGTTTTCAGTATACTGTGTATACCAGGCGAGTTGAGGTGCCTTTGCAGATCAGCAGGTGGGGGAAGTTGGGCATCAAGGACTCCTCTCAACACTCTTGATCCAATGTCTATTACAAGTCTGCATAGTCGGGTGTAATTGGTCTTTTCTCTTAATGATGATCCAGAGCTTGTAGCCATTAATCTACATATAAAAGGCACTTAAAGATACATGATATCTATCCAATTACAATTCATGTGGCTTGTTATTGAAAAAGCCTTAAGCCTGCCTGTATAAGCTCTGTCACATTCGAGAATAAGGAATGAAATATGTCCCATTAACTGTACTGTACTCAGTCCTATCGCAGCCGTTATATTGTCAAAATCCCGGCCCCCCCTCATCCCATTTAACGGCTGCGAAAAATGGTTATGCCTTGTAACGTGGTTATTCTCCACGGGGAGGGGGGAGCCTATTTAAGATTCGTCTCGCGTGCGTGTGGAGCAAAGTAACTTTTGGGTTGTGTGAGTTAGCCATGTTCTAAACGAGCAAGGGCCTGTGTACTACATAGCTTATTATTTTTGCATAAAAATTTAATGCAATTTTAAAATGGACATCATAATGAGAGACAGCTCATCAAAATCCACAAATCCACACATTTTGATGACAATATTAGTAAAGGCTATGCTGCTATTGATATTCAAATTTACATAGGAATGTATGGCTGAATCGACAGCTGTCCCTACAGAAGTAAAATTCGTTTTAATTTTCACATTTTGAAGAGTTTTCCCTTGATTCTTATTCAGCAAGGTATATTAACATAGTACCATGTGGAATATTTTGGGCATGGTTTTTTTTCATTCATGAGGAAAAGCACTATTTGCTACCTACAACTAGTGCCAGTTCCCTGCTCGTTTAGAGCATGGCTAGTTGTAGTTGTGGGAATCGTAGCTGCGTTAAACGTCAGGCCGTTGACCCTTTACTGACAATCAAACAAGAAACGAAATTCTAATAGACCATTATTGTTAAATTTAGCGTCCAATGTGGGACTTGAGACCACGACCCTTATATTGATCGTGCAAACTGTAAATAACCTTTATAGATATAAGCATATAGAAGTGTATCCTAGGTCTCTTCTACTATGCGGCATTTCTATGACAAATATAGGTTGCGATGCCTGGTTTAAGAGCTTATTAAGTGAGCTCGTTCGAAACTTGATGTAACACAATTTATACGTAAGTTCAGTAGATCAATAAAGGCCAAGGCTTGGTATGTACTGATGAGTTGAGCACGCAGATTTTCTCGAAAATTTTGGAATTTTTAGGAAGGCACACGTTAGAATCTTAGGTGGGGCAGCTCGTTTGTGGTCTCATACTTGCCAAACCCGGCAAATACCGTAATGTTATTATTCTTGCAAAAATAATGACAAGATGTAATTAAAAATACTAACAGTTCAAAAATATAATTTAATTTCACCTCGTGATTATTAATGGTAAAACAATTAATGTGAACTTACATGTGCGCAATGAGTCCAGAATCAGTCAAAACCAGCATTGTCATGATAATAGTGCATTTTTATACAGGTACAGAATTTGTTGCCACTGGAACTGGGTAATTTTCTATAGTATTCTC